AGTAAAGACAAAAGCTGAAAAAATAAATAATGTAAACACAGGAACTATAATTGTGATACTGATTTACTATTTTAGGTCTTGTAAAAGGATAAAAACTAAACAAAATAAACACACAACTAAGAAGTAAACATATAATGAACATTGACGGAACCATTATTACCATGTGAGGTATAAGTTGGGATTCCATATTCAAGAGGGTGATTCTAGTGATACAGTGAGGAGAAGAATTCTTGTGAGGAGAGAATGATGGTTGTAAGAATGAGAGAGGATGATTTGGTTTGACTTATGTGTCGGGCCTGGTCAGGACTGAATTGATGTGTTCAATTAAGTTCAATTTCAGACAAATCTGAGATTGAGAAACAAACTGTTGGACAATAAGTATGACTATATTCCATGTAATTGTCTGCACGATATCTTGAACGGAGGACTATATGATCCCTTATCTAAAGGGCAGGTTACTAATAAGATCAGAGTTCGACAGCGTCTTTGAGAGCTACGATTGCTAATCGGATCCTGAAGTCGCAGTTGCATTTATAGTTATTAGACTTATCCAAGTGGGAGAATGTTGGATTAATGTCTAAGTCCATAACTATATTTGGTATGTACTTGACCCGGTTGTGCATGGTCCTTTTGGGTTGCCTTCACCAAAGTAACTGGACATAATGATTTATGGAGAGAAAGGATATTATTGTTTATTAATATATTATATGAATAATATATTAAAGGAGAAATCATGTTGTTTAATTAATATTGGTCAAGAATTAATTTTTGTGGCTAAAAGAGATTAATTATATAAAGGGGAATGGAATTGCTAATTATAAGATAATTGAATTTGGGTTGTGGAACTTATGGATTAAGGGGGTGGATGATTTCAAGTTGGAAGCCCACTTGGAAATCCTCCAAGGGCCCTATTCCAAAAGGTTCTTGGAGCTGCTTAGGGCCTAAGCTATCCAATTAGGGTTTTGGCTGAAACCCTGGTAGCTCAGCTATTTAAGGACCCCTAGGGCTTCAGTTTTTGGTTACCAGAAGAAAACCTAGAGTTCCTATAGCCGAAATTGTGCCTCCTTCCCTCTCTTCTCAATCATCTTCTTGCCTTGGCGTTTGTGAGCCATTAGAGGTATTACAATTGTGATACTAAGCTCTTAAAGATTGAAGATTCTTGCTACTATGAAAAGGTAATCATCTAAACTTGTATTAATTGTAGATTTCGATTTTATAGTATGCTAGATTAGGGTTTGTAATCTTTGGATAAATTTGCATGTACAATAGAGAAACCTAGATCCAAAGCTGTAGGGTTTTGCATATGCACATCGGAATGTTCTTTTGCTCAAAACCCATCCGTATTGATGCGATTGGATCAGTTGAGTCGTTGCGAATAGAAGGAAGGCAATATCGTTGCGACTGGTTACGTCGTTACGATCAAAATAATAACAAAATTTCAATTGGAACTATGATTGCAAATGAGTCAATATTGTTGTGATTGACTTCTATTTTTTACGTTGTCATCTGTAATAAAGAAGAAATGTGTGATACTTACTCTTCTGTTGATATGGCCAGATCTCTTTTATATTTTCAAGTTCATGGTTGTATACCTTGATGACATATTGGTATATCACAAAAGCAGGGAAGAATATTTGGTGAATTTTAAACATGTGTTTGAAGCCTCTAAATCTCAAAGATTCTATGGAAAGCGGGAGGAGAGTTCATTCCATGTTGTTTCAAAAGGGGAATGGAATTTGAGGGGCAAGGTTCACAAAGCAAGGAAGTCAATCTGAAGTGCTCCCCATGGAGAAAATATGTTGCCAGATGAGTATCGTTTCAAAAGCAAGCATCTTTGTATATCCAATCATTCAAATCTTGCGTTCTTGGCACTAAAAGCTTATAATGGAAGAGTGGCTAATCAGTTCGGTATTGAGAGAAAACTACCCAAAAGTTTGTATCTTGTTGAAGAAAACCTTTCTGAATTGAGGGCAATTCCTCTTGAAGAGGGAGGGATTGATGCAAATTTGGATGGCAGTCCTCCAGATGTCTATTTCCGATCCGAACTCAATTGGGTTTGAACGTAAATCATGATGAGAAGCAAAGTTTTTGGCTCTGAAATATGCTCAAATTGCGAACGAGTGGGACTGGGTGCGAACCGTTGCTATGATTCATCGTACCATGTTTTGGTATGTGAATGCGAAGAGGGCTTTCTATGCGAATCGAAAGTTGGATGTGTATGGATAAGAATGGATGCGAACAATTGCAATGTCACATGTATTTGTTGTTCGTAGCGATACTATTCATATTCATTTGTGGATCATTGTGAAAGAAAGCTTGGATGCGAAGAGGAACTTGGATGCAAAAGGGATTCGCATTTCGACCGACTTAGATACGACACCGACTTCCATTCCAGGGGAGTTAGGATGCGAATGCGAGATCTCGGAAGACTAAGAGTCGCCTCGGAAAAGTCACTCCTCGGAAGTTGAAAAGTCCTTTTAATGTTGAAGCCATTTGTCTTCTTTTGTCGGTCTTTTTTTAGTTTTAATAAACAATTAATTGGCATAATAATTAGTGTCTTTAAGTTAATATTTCATTATCTTTTGTAAGGCTATACAAAGCCCTTTGTCGATCATTTTGTAATAAGATATACATGAATGTTGAATATATGAAGTTGAACTTGAGTTCGTTCAAATTGTTGCGTATGATTCAAACTTTGATCTTTATTGGGATGTGTTTCCTGGTTTTGATTCTGAACTCAAATAAATAGGTCTTGATTTGTTTTCACTGAATTTTCAAGCTATAAGTCTAGTTTAACCTTCAAATCTATCACTTTTGTTTTTGTTTTTGTTTGTGTTGTTATTCCGCTCCATAATTTATTTCCAAGCTCCAGTGTTCTTATAAATTGTGGTGTTGGAAATCCGAGTCGTGTTGTGGATTCTTGGAGCGGTCTAAATAAGCACCAGAGGTCTGGCCCATATTTGAAGATTAAGCATAACTAGATGAAACCTAATCTTAAACTTACTTCATGGCTGGGGAAAAAAATACTTTCCAAATCACCAAAAGTAATCGAATAGATAAGATGCAGGATTCATGTACTTAGTTATTGTCATGTATCTTTTTTATCTTACACAGATAGAATCAAAGACAATTTATATGATGCTATAACTCAACATAGTTAACTCTTGTTATTCTTGATATTTGAAAATCTAAGTTGCAAACAAATCAATTTCGATTAAAAGATGGAAAACATAAGATATGTAGTTTAAAGGGCATGTAAAAATAATTATTGATGAAAATGTTACATTCCTAGAGCAAATCAGTTCTTCTTTGAAACAAAGAAGGGACTTAGAGCGTTCAACTCAAAGTTAAAGGATCGGGAAGTTAAATGATTCAAAAAATATGAAATATCAAGTAACTCTAAAAAATCTATTTTCAAATTGAAGTTTGTTGAGTTGTAGAGTTGAATAAGCCATTTGACATCATTGTCGCCGTTGAAAATTAGCATTACGGTCCCTATCCCTAAAGAGCAAGCTTTGATTAAGGGAGAGCCACTCTTGAGGTAGGGTTGGATGGATCGATATCGGTTCGATCTGATCCAATCAAATGAATCCAAATTGATTTTATTTTTGAAACATGGATCTGAATAATTCAAATTAAATTTAAATCCGATCTGATCCAACCAAATTACAATTTGTCTAAATTGGTTTTTACAATTCGGTATTCAAGTGGCTAAACATTAAATACTATATAACTTGAATATTTATCAACACTATGAAATAAACAAAAAACAGTTTAGTTGTGAATTAATATATATATATATATATATATATATATATATATATATATATATATATATATATATATATATATATTGTAGTTTAGTATTTTGTAGAAAAAAAATATTTGGATAAGAAATATATATTAAGGTATTATATTGCATGAAGTTTTCTAATCTATTAACAATATAATTTAGTAAATTTATAAAAGATTAAAGATATAATATAAATAAATAAATATCATTCGGTCTTTTTTTTTTTTACTATTTAGTTTTATTTTATAAGCCAAAACCAATCCAAAATAATAATTCGGTTTTGCTAAAAATCAATTCAAAAATCCAAATGTCCGAACCAAATAGTTCTATCAAAATTGTACAATTCAACAATTCGATTTTATGCAAATAGTGATTTTTCCTACTTAGGGTCCAAGGGCAGCACCTCATGAAGAACATTTTGATTTGAAGAGCTACAAAGTATGCAAATCTAATAAAATATAACTATTACGCTCGAAGATAATTATTCAGATCATGTATGTGAACCAAGAAAATATTTATAATTTTTTTGTAGTATATTTATTGTGTGTTTATCATTCAGATCATGTATGTGAACCAACAAAATATTTATAATTTTTTTGTAGTATATTTATTGTGTATTTATCATGTCTTTAATATTATCACCAAGTCTATGCAAATGGCGATTATGATACAAGAGTTGCGCAAAATGAGGCTTTCAAGGAGATAGGCAAGAAAGTTATTAATTGTATTTCATTTAAAGTGATCTTTTTGACCGTTAGCATGAAGAGAAAGCATCTACAATTTGGTCAATTGCATTCCTATAGTAGACAAACTCCAAACTCCAAACTCCACTTGTGTTATGTATTTTGAAGAAGGCAAAGAATGTGTTTCAAAGCTCTTCAACTAAAGGAATGCTGAATTCCTCAAATGAAGGAATCCATAAATTCCAATAAGATATTCAAGTAAACGCGATCATGAAATTGAATCGGAATCCACATCCACTTAATAATGGCAAAGCAAAGATCACATGAGATTTTTGTATTATTTAGTAAATTATTAACAATATAAGTCATACGTTTCCAAACTTAAAGCAAGAATATACATGGTTATCTTCAAAACTACGATATGTAACCGTAGTTAATGATGGTAACCAAAGTGTTTTAGTTAGTTCATACATGTGATATTAATTAATTAACCCATACAAGAGCTTAATTAAACAATTCAATAACGTTACATAAAAATTACTTTAAATGGTTTACAATGTAATTAAAGAAGCAAATGCTACTCCTAATCCATATGCGTTGACCGCAAACTTTCTATACATTATAATCCCCTAAAATAAAAATATTAAGAATATACATCAAGTAAAAAATATTAAAAAAAAATTAACAAATGTAATAGCTAGTCTACATTCTTTTTTTTTTCTTTTCTTTTCTTTTCTTTTTTCTTTTTTTTTTAAGGTCGCCACAAGATTGAAACTCCATTTTGGAATATTCCAATCAAATAATTGGCCAAAGGCATCCAACGTAATAGTGTACTAACGTTGTTCCCCAACTTCAAGTTGGTTCAACGAAAGAGAAAAAACCCATTTGGGTAACGACTTTGTTCTCCTAGCAGAATTATGCAGCATCTGTTGATGCCGATTCCTATTATTTTTCTTCGACATTGACTCCACAAATGACTTGACACGTTGCATGGCCAAGATTAGGGTTTCTTCAGACATATTGGCGAAGCAAACCCTGAACCAACCCGGTTCACTACAATGGCAAGATGAACCGGGCGAGATGTTCAACCGGACATCATACACAATCTTCTCCCACAGTTCGATTTCTCCATCAAAGGTCTTTGAGCTCAAAAGATGTCTCATATCCACCCAACAAAACAAACCGGAGTTGCTTTTCAGGCATCTGATTCCTACCTTTTGAAGCCCTTTTACCAGCGTTTCCTGCCGGTGTTTCAACCTCCGGCGATTCTCAGAAAGATAGATATTTGTGAATTTCCGGTCTGATAACATCTCCGACAGTAAATACTGTGTTTGAGAGGAAATTAAACCGAAGCTAGACATTTTTGTGGCGGCAGAGACGACGTCACCGTTGCCGGAGTAAATTGCTCCGACTCGAAAACCAGGTAAACCGAGATCTTTTGAGAGGCTGCAGATGATGTGAACGCGGTTAGAAACTTCGCTGTTCATGAGGTTTTTGTTCTTCAGAACCTCCATCACACTAGTGAACTTCGGTGAACTGAAAACAGTACCAGAGTAGACTTCATCACTGATGAGATGGATGTTCTTGGTGGATATGAAGTTGAAGATGAGATCGAGTTCATGGATGCTCAATGATGTCCCCAATGGATTCGACGGATTCGTGACGAAAATACCCTTCACTTTAAGGTCTTTCTTTTTTGCTTGTTGGTAGGCATCTTCAAGGGCAGATCTGGTAATCCGGAAACCATTGGAGCTTGAGCAGTGAATCGGGACTATTTCAGCTCCAGTTCGCCACTTGAGATCTCTATCAAATCTACATAACGTAGTAAATCAGATCAGAATCATAAACTTTACCGTGACGTTACTTTCGATGTAAGGAATATGAGATAAAAAGTAAGGTGAACCTACGCCGGATAATATGGCGTCGGAATGAGGAAAGCGTCGCCGGGGTTAGCGACACAAAACATTAAAGTTTCACTGGCGGAGGTTGCTCCGGCGGTGAGTACAAGGTTGTTTGGATCAAAAGTAAAAGTGTTTCCTCTTATCTCTGACATGAACTGGACGAATGCCTACAAAAATCAAAAGAAATGGTTAAGTATATAAATAGATGAATAACATATTTATAAAACTTGGAAGGTGGGTTTATTTACTACAAGATGATTTAAAAAAAAAGAAAAATGCTTACTTTCTTGAAAGAGGGAAGGCCATGATAATCTTGAAAGAGAGCAAGTTCTTTAAAGACGGAATGATCATCATTGTTCTTGAATTGTGTTGCAGTTGGATTGTTCTCGATCCATGACTCAAGAAGATTGAATGATAATTGATTTTCAGCGAGACCCATTTGGATAATACCATTTGGATTATTGATCTCGTGGTAGGGATTCTTCTCGTACTCTTGCCATCCAAGAAAATACGAGGAATCCTGCCCATGAGCATTACAATCGGTAACTTTTGAGGACAACATGTGTTTGAAAAAAAGCCTTAACTGAGGCAAAAACAATAAGTGTTAAAAGATTGGAATTGGATTTTGGTTAAAATGAGTTGAAGCTATGTGGTGAAAGTGAAGGATAACGCATTTTATGAATGGAGTGTTTGGAAGGTATATATAGAGTTTGGAGATGTAGTTGACAAATAGTGTTACGTTAATTCCATGTCAAATTGTTTGACCTTTGGATTCGTAGACTTTAAAGTTACTCTCATGTTCTACTCTCTTTTTCACGCGCGATCTATTCACACTCCACCGTCATTTGTACGTGCAGTGCACGTGATAAGATTGCATCTCTCCATAGGCATTAAAGATCGAATTTAGATTTTAGATGCAAATAAGAAGTTTCCTTTCACACTGGTTATTTTACGGGAGGCCAAGGCGGCAAGGCCCACTTGGCTTGTAGTTATACTAGAGATTATGAACTAATTAAGGAGTTCTAGTAGTGATTATGGTTGGCTAGTTTCAACAAGAAAGATATGTGTCAACAAAAGGACAATAGTTTTCATTGAGTAATTAAAGATTTAAAGGTAGCAAAAATGCATAATTAGTCTCACCAAAGGTTTACACACGTCTACTCTGTGATTGTTGGAAATATCTAATAGTCGTATGAAGTGATTACGTTTCAAATTATGTAAAGGTTTGGATGTCACAATCAAATGTTCTCGTTTAGATACAAGCTTTTTTAGACAAAAATACATAATGGATAGGGAAAATGATTGGTAACTAAATATCAAAATTGTTCAAAATATATCATTCAAGTTTTGTAACTACAAAAGAAATATCATTGCATTATTGCCTTTGTACACATATTACCATCAAGTAAACTCTTTGTTCCAATCACACCTTATAGTGATTGGTTGTTGCAACTAAGTTGGTGACTTGACATGTTTATTGTCTGATTGGTATATTAGTTGACAAATAGGTTATCTACCTGACATTAAATGTTATATTTGTTGGATTAGGTGTTTAAATTTATAACTGTAAATGAGATGTATTTGATCCAATAGTAGCATGGTCATTTTGAGTTGCTTTCACACTGGTAACTAGACATGATGACTGTTGAGGAGAGAGGCTAATTTATTATTAAGAATAATAAATTGGGGCATAAATATGATTTACTAATATATTATATGAATAATCATTAATTTGGAATCATATTATTAATTAGTATTTAATTTGGAATTAATTTTGGGAGTAAAGAAACTGATTAAAAGTACAAGGGTTGTTTTGTAATTATTTGATGGTTGAGGCTTTTTGCCATTGGATCACACTTGTTAGGGCTAGGCCGAAAATCCTAGAAGGATTTAGGAGTTTTCATCCAAGGCCTAATGCAAAGAGGTCTATAGACTTGCTTAGGCCCTAAGCTAAGGGATTAGGGTTTCCACCCTGAAACCCTAGCTGGCTTCAAGTATAAATAGACCTCCTAGGCTTAAAAATTTGTCCCACCCCCTTGAGAAACCCAGAAGAGACGATTTCTAGAGCTAGTTACATTCTCTCCTTTCTCGCATATTCATCCTTTCACTCTTGTGTGTTTGTGAGCTATTAGAGGTACTACATTTGTGATACTTGTTCTCAAGAGCAAATGAACTTCAAGATTTAGTTGTTATTACTATATAGCAACAAATGTATGAGTTCTAAACCCTTTTGTTTGTGAATTTTCTAAATATTAGATGCATGCTAGGATTTCCTTTTGTGTTCATTTGTTGTATGTCTAATAGGGAAAACATAGGTCCAAATTAGGGTTGCATGCACACATATGATTGTTTGTATAAAACCCAACAATTGCATCAGAGCTTTGGTTTTTGTTTTCAATTGGATTTGATACAAAATTATGAACTTGACAAATTAGGGTTTATGGCTAATAAACCCTAGGGCTTGGATTTTCGAAATTAGGGTTACAAAACCCTAGTTTTCGAATTTTGTTAGGGTTTCTTGAACCCTTTCCTTTGGCATTAAAATTTCAAAATTAGGGTTGTCTAACCCTAGATTTTTCGAAAATGCCTTATTCCCCAAGATAAGATTCCAAGATTTTAGGGATTATGATAATACCATCTTTTGTAATTATTCCTTTAATTGTTTAAATAGATAATTAAAGATCTTTGAATTATCTCATCCCAAATTTTTGAATTTTAGAGGATAAAGGGATTAGGTTAAATTAATTGTTTAATTTAATGGATAATACTCAAATATTTAATATTTTAAATTAATTGTTTAATTTTGGATAATTATTAAATCAAAGTTTTAATATTTAAGATTTTAAAATTAAAAAGTATTAATTTTTGAAAATTTTGAATTTGATTAAAACCCTAATATTTTGAAATGTTTAAAATACACCCTTATACTATTAGAATATTATAAGATTAATATATATATATATATATATATATATATATATATATATATATATATATATATATATATATATATATACACGTATAAGATTAATCTAGTCTTACCGTTAGTAGGTTTCATTTACGAAGCCGATCTATAAGGGGGGGGGGGGGTATAAGGTTGATGCCTATAAAATAACAGTTGAATGGGTGTCCACTCTCACTCACCGCTTTCTTGATTGTTGGAGGGTTGTTAGCCGAACGGGTGGGATAGGGCAACTAATTCCTCATTAAAAGTATAATGGTTAATAAAGTAACTAAATGTTTTTTTATAAAATTCCCAATCCTAGTTAATTTAGGAAAAATGTGAAAATGATGCTTTTCCATAAAATTACACTTTGCACCCTGCCAAGTCGTTAGCGGAGCGTGTGTGGTTAACCGGCACACTAATTTGTGACTAGCAAAGTGGCAAAGGGAAGCTTGATGTTTATCATAGATCAATGGAGCGTGTGTGGCTAACTGACACATTTATTAGGTGATTTGTAACATCGAGAGTACCAAGTACATTTGCATGGTTATTCACACCTTGTTTGTGATCCTCGGTAACCCAGTCACAAACTTGAAAGGGATATCGAGATTTAAACATGTCATTGAAAGGTTTAAAGAATCTCAAAAGATCTTGGAATTTCAATACATTTAAAACTTAATTTCTATTACGTTTTTCATGGTGGAAATTAGTGAATCGTCATTCACTTACCTTCAAATTATTTGCAGTTTGGATTACGACATCCCTATTTTAAATTGTAAATAATGTTGTTGGATCCTAGCCCTAATTTCTCATTTGGGTGTTTAATTGGGGATTCTTATCTAATCAAACTTTGTCTCTTTTCTATTTCAGATCTCTACTTCGAACAACAACAATGGTTAAGGCTCGACCCCTTCCGGCACATTCTCACTCATGAACTTGTGTGGGAGGGTGATTTTTGATGGGACCAATTTTAATGATTGGAACCGCAACATATGTATGGTCATCCACTACAAGGACAAGGAGTATGTTCTCGATAAGGAGCTGAAGGAGGTTAATGTCAACACTACTACTCCCAAAGAAATCAATGGTTTCGAGGCTCACGAGCGAGATACTACGAAAGTCCATTGCATCATGCTCGTGATGATAACCGCCGAACTGCAAAAGTCCTATGAGGACTACTAACCCTACGAGATGCACCAACATTTGATGGAAAGGTACCATCAAAGTGATAGGCAGGAACAATATGAGATCATTACTGTAATGATCACTACCTAAATGAAGGACTGAGAGTCTGTTATGACCCCCCCCCCCCCCCCCGATCTTGGCTATTGGGCAAGGAAAGGGAAAGAAGATAAAGGCTCCTTCTAAGAGCCACCACAAGGGAAAGTCCCACAATGGTACCTCTTCTAGTGGAACCAAATATGGTCCCGCTGCTCCCTCTTCAAACCCCAACGATGCAGAGCGCTTTCACTGCCACGACAAAGGGCATTAGAAACGAAGTTGCATGAAGTACCTGCAGGACATCAAGGATGGGAAGATAAATCCATCCTTCACAGGTATTTATACTATTCAATCTAATAACCCAACACATGTTATCTCTTGGGTCTTTGATACAGGATGTGGTTTTCACATTTGTTATGGTATGCGGGGTCTAAGAAGAAGTAGAGATGTGGAGCATGGGAAGATGTGAAATCCACAAAATCACGGCCAGAAAAGACTGGTTTCATTTATGCTTTTAAAATAATTTCAGAGTAAATCCACTGATTTAAAAGAGTTGCAGAATTTGTTCTTGAAACAATACATGATAAGATAAAATTTATCAAAGCATTTCTTAAAGAGATGTATTTTCATTATATAACAAAACCTCGGGATGTCAAGTTCCGATACATACACAAAAACATAAACAATAAAACATAGACCTTACACAGTTACATACTACTACTGGTCTATAAACAAAAATATCTTCACAAGTTCTCCAATTTATGCTCTCGCGCCACTACCTGTAATACAAAAAACTGAGTGGGTCAGGCTTGGGAGCCTGGTGAGCATATAGGGTTTTCAACCCACAATAAATAATTATATTTAATTTCATCATCCAACAATAACCCGATTACCCATTCCCGTTATCCTCACTTTACGTGCCTAAAACAACAACTATCATAAGGGACCTAATCTAGGATTTTCATCGGGACGAACAATACTGCAAAGGGGTTTCCTTAGAAATATATGTCCTAACACAACCATAAGGGGGATAGAATACAGCAAATGAACACCCAAGTTCACCAACACCTACAGGTTATGAGCCTGCCAACATTCTACAGGACAGTCTAGAAGGAGTTTGTGGTCGCCATCCATACTCTGCTGAATGACTAGATCACAATCACATCGAGGCCTCTCATCAGTTTATCACACATCAACTATCTACCGAAGTTCAGCCCAACATTTTTGTAGATAACAACGTACATATATATTCATATGCAACTTAAAAACTGATAAGATACTCATTCCAAATAAACAGATAACATATATATACACGTATATTCATACACACATAACACGTATTCTAAAGTAGATACTTCATATCTATGTTTTAGAAGAAAAGGAATATACACTCACTTGATTAGAAAATGATCGGATAGCACTATGACTCTTTAAGTAGTAGCTCTTCGGTGAAACCGGGATCACTTCACACACCCGGCTTCGCGCGGGCAGAGTTTCGGC